CTCCCCAAAGAGAGGAAGTTGACTCACCCCTCGGTAACTTTACCATCCAGTAGCCTGAAAAACACCATCGCGCTACATCTCACCATCACAGAGACTGGAAGCCCTATCCAATTACCCGTTGTCGCAAGCACACCAAGCAAACAACTTTTGAACGATCATTTGTTTGGTAGTCATCGCGCCTCCTGCTACTGTCGTGCAGCAAGTCCCAATAAAAAGTGCTGCGAAACTTGGGCTGCCTCGAGCCTGTCTCGTGTGGCTAACACGCCTCAATCGCATTTCATTTTGACATTAGTTTGAGTGCTACTAAAAGGTACTGTTAGAATGATGTTTACTTATGCAGGACTTTCCATGCGTCTGATGGTAGTGAGCCAAAACCGCTCAATCGAAACCTCGGACAGTGCTACCACTTCTGAATTCTGCGATCTCAAATCGGTTGCTTGGATAACTAGCAGCAGACTGCCATCCTTGAAAAAAGTGTGCCATTGAGAATCAACTTACCACATTTGTGAGCTCAAGTGGATCAATTTTTGCTAGCTTTAGATTTCCTCTTTTTAACCCCCTTCTACCCTTAGGTTATCTATGAGGGCAGATATGATAGCGTGTAGGATATAATGCGCTCAAACTCATACAATGGAATCACCATGGAGACTTTTATGGTGAGCAATGCAAGTGAGTTTGTTTACTCTCATTTGCTGAAATCGTCAAGTCTTCATGTTCGTGTTTGTAAGTAGACCAAGAGTAACAGCATTGAAACTGTGAATCAATGTTTACCTATTCAACAGTTTTGTGCAACCGAGACTGGCTGACCCATAGGCGAACGGTTTTCTATGATGCGCTGAGTATACCCATTGCAATAATAATAATATACCCTTTAATGTAAAAATGATTAGGTGGATAATATAGCCCATTTTCCTTAATGTACTTCCAATAAAACGAGTTAGCACACGTGATTGTATGGAGGTGAAGACGATTGCAAAAGCAAACAAATGCGCAAGTCCTGGTAAATCGTT